GTAGTGGGGGGGGGGGGTGTTATAGAGGATGCCCTGCTATTCTTCTGCCTTTGCTCTCACCTGTCCTGGGGCTCCTATGGAAAACAAAACACTATTATAAGCATAGTGTGGAAATATGCAACGCAAATCGGCCAGCCAAGCAAAATTGCAATTCCCCAGGTTATTATAAGGGTTATTATAAGAAGAGCGGGGCTTGTGGAGGTGAAGCACGTAGAGACCAAAATCACCAACGCAGATAGGCTGAGGCCCACAAAGAAATATAATACGAATATTAGCTGAATATATAGCTGTTCCTCGGTATTTTTCGGCTTTGCTGAGACTTGTAAGTAGGCACTTCACCAACGGCAGGGCTTAATGTGTGTGCGGTGCGTGCTCGAGGAACCTGGCATATAATACTCCGATTGTGGGACAGCTGTTGGCAGAGCCGTTTTACGGTGTTCAGTCCATTTGGCTTTAATAGCAGCTTTCAGGCGGACCGCTACTCTATCCCCTCACCGCCCCTTCAATTACACCTCCTCTGATACTCTGCTGGCCTAAAGACTCCTGCAGTAAAAAATAAAAAGACCCTCTGAAATGCAATACGTTTGAAGAATGGGCTCTGACTTTTAAGATTTGGAGCTATACTCTCTGATGATTTCAGGGAAGCAATCTTAGGCAAGTGGCGAAGAAGAGAGAAGGGAAGGAAGCGTAGCAGCTCGCTAGTTTAACAGGACACCCGTGACTTAAATATCCATTTAGTGTAGATGAAGGGCAGTCAGGACTCAGGGGCTGTAGGTAGGTAGGCCTGTGATCGAGGCCTTTCTCTGGACTTAAAATAAGGGTGTTTGTTTTAAAACCGACGACCAACGATGTGTGGCATTTAACACTGTAACTGGTCATATTTCATATTGACAAATGCCAGTTTTAATTACACACTTTATGGCTTCTTGTATCTTCAACTAAGACACGCACAGCGAACCACCAGAAATACTACAGTATGACTGGGATGTGTAGCATAACAGTTGACAGCAGAGTAAATTTACTGGCCACAGATCTCAGTCACCTGTTCTACCCGACCTCGATAAGAGTCTGTGTCCAATAGTTTCTCATTATTTTTCGGCGGTTTGATATTTTATCTCATCGGTTTAAAATCAAATAGCGATTTTAAAGTTGTAACAAGATATAAATAGTTTGTATTTACATAATAAAATGCATAGGGCCTGAATTATTTTTATATGAATAATTACTTTGGTGGAAATTTGTGCTTGTAATTCTCATAATATCGACCGAATATCATGCACCAAAATATTCTAATAAAAAGCCCTTTGTAACATAATAGAGCTACACTAGACAACACATCTTATTTTTTAAAGGTACTATATGAAATGATTTATATTTTAGATCTTAATAGGTAACAAACTAAATAAACCTCCATGAAAACAAAGGCTTAGTTTAAAATAAAAAAAACTATAAATATGGAATTATTTGAAAACTTCCTACATGACTTAAACTTCGTCATTAAAAACAATTCTACACTACAAATATGAAGGAAGTGGATCATACGTCACTCACAGAAAAACAATTGTTACCCTATAAATCGCATTAGTGCTAACAACTCCAGACGTGCGTGTCAACGAGCACAAATGAAGAGCAGAATCTTATTTTAAGTGACAACTCTACGTCGACTGTATATGAAACAATATTTTCATGTACTTAAAGCAACGAAAATAATGAGGTGTTTTCAGAAAAAAAGAAGAAAGTACAAGCCTCCCTAAATCGATATGTCATTAAAGCTGGTGAGGTATCGATTAGTTGGCGATCAGAGAAAAGGCCTTGGCTTACACTGAGAAAATCTGCCTTTAACGAATCATTAGCCACATATTCTGTCGCAAAAACATATTTCTCTTAAAAAAGTGAAATGTTATTAAACGTGACACGGTGTCAAATTAAAACTAAATATCGTTTATTTGTTTTTATTCTTGTGAAATGGGACAAGTAACTCCTCTGATATCAGGAAACTGTTGTAGATCCTTTAAAAAACGTTGTCTTGAAGTGAAACGATCTCAGCCCCGTTTTTTTGTTTCTTCTAATATTATGTTCATTGTCCGATAAACAAACACAACAGAAAGCTGGTTAAACAACTATTTTACGGTGGAAGTCCTGCACTAAGCCACGCTGCATTTCACTGTATTT